TATACTATGTTAAAAAAAAAAAAGGGCTAGCTAGTAAACTTGTAATTAATGCCCCCACCATTTCAAGCACCAACCCCATATTCTAGATGTAAAGCTGCATCGTAGAAACACATAATGCACATCCTTTAATTCACCATCACACAATCTCTTTTAGGGGACGTTATAATAGTTAAAATTTTAAATTTTTATATTAAAAATCTCAAATTTAAATTTTAAGTTGGAAGGAAAAGATTTGAAAAAAAAGATAATTATTTTTATTGTATAATTTATCATTTCATGTACCAAAAGAAAAAAAACCACCACACAGTCATGACACCACTAAGCAAATCCATAATATGATGAGCATAATGCATCTAAAAGTATAAAAGTATAGGGAGATTTGCATTCTGTAACAACTAGTCACTATTAATATTATTAGCTTGGGTTTATTAGACTTTATATATTGTTTTAAAACATGTTAATAAGAGTTAATGAGTATTAATTTATATACCTAATATCCTTTTATGCTTTATTGATATGAAATTTGTCTAAAAATATTACAAAAGTTTGCCCCATTACTGTTTCAAAGGCCATGTAAAGTGATGTTTTTTTTTTTTTGGTACATCCATGTAAAGTGATTTTGATTTCATATATAATAACCTAACCGACTATTAACACTGTTTGTTTTGACTCATTAGGCGTCATAGTTTTAGGGATTAACGGGGTTGATATATAAAAATACCGACCCCATACTCCAGATGTAAAGCTGCAGCATAGAAATAAATAATGCACATCCTTTAATTCACGAGCAGGCAATGCGCACCTAACATCTCTGTATGCTTTTGGATGTATCATGCTCGTCATATACGTAATGTAAGATAATTAACTGACAATCAACACTGTTTGTTTTGACTCATTAGGCGTAATAGTTTTAGGGATTAACGGGGTTGATATATAAAGATACCGACCCCCATACTCCAGATGTAAAGCTGCGGCATAAAAATAAATAATGCACATCCTTTAATTCACGAGCAGGCAATGCGCACCTAACATCTTTGTATGCTTTTGGATGTATTATGCTCGTCATATACGTAATGTAAGATACCTAACTGACAATCAACACTGTTTGTTTTGACTCATTAGGCGTAATAGTTTTAGGGAATAACGGGGTTGATATATAAAGATGCCGACCCCATACTCCAGTTGTAAAGCTGCAGTGTAGGGGCGAATAAATTCACCAAACAATGCACATCTCTATGTACTTTTAGATTTATTATTCACTGTTAGATTTTATTATGCTTAATATATGTAAGATGTGTTTAACTTGTTTTAGGTTTGAAGTATCTTTTGTATTTTGAGTTATAATTTTTGGATTTTTTTTTGTCAAAATGTTCATCCTTTAGATTGTGATTGTTATCGGCAAGGTTTTCCTAACTTTCTCTAGAATGTAAAAAAATTATTTAAACGTTAATTTTTTTTTTTTTACAAGACAACACTTTAATATTATTAGTGACTCAAATCTTCTTCGGCTCATTAGTTTCAATTCTTAGATTCAATAATCAAGTGTTGATGGTGACGATATATATATATATAGTAGGGATAAACTTATACTAGTGTGAGTTTACAAAATTCTCATACCAATTTTCAACAATACATTTTAAAATTTAAGGGGTAAGAAAAAGATTTAAATAATTAAGGATACAAAACTTTTCAAAATTTTAAATTAGGTAGTAAACTTT